CACTCCAAGTCTGGGCCCGGATTCACAAAGTTTTGGGTTTGTTTTTACACCTGATATAACTAATATGATGGCAAACAGATATCACAATGCGGACATAGTAAAGAAATGCAAATTTCACATGAAACTAGCAAGAATACAATCCACACAAATTTTCGTAAACTTATAGGCCTACATTATACTAGAATGCATGGAACCGATAAATAAGTGAACTTTAAAAAAATTCACTAACATAATTATTTCAAATGCTATAGAAAAAACTACCTTGCTGATATATAAACTGGCAATGATGAAAAATATATAAATTAAAAGCTGTTTGGACTGTCTGGTTTGAGTTAACAATAATATATTAATATAACAGTGTTTGTATTGGTTCGTATCTATCCAGTAAATATATATCCAACATGATGGATGTAATCAAATAGATTTATTCTTTTTTCTATATGTGTTTCAATAGTGCTTTAGCTCTGACGATTATTTAAACAATCTTGCTGTGTCTAGTTCTGTTTACATGTTACGTGGTTGGCCGAAGGAATCTAAAAGATTATGTATGGCGCTCGCTGATTGGTGGAATTGCTTTACTAGAGCCCTCTGTTGGCTACCATTAGAATGACTCGATTTACGATTGTAACTCAGCATATCCAAATTACCATTTCATCGTGAACTTCCACGACATCCACACCGTCGGGCTCGTGCATGAACGGTCCAACAATCATCAACCCTTGATATTCCTCTTCCAACTCTTTGAAGATATAGGCACCCTCTAAAGAAGTACCAATGTCCTCGTCGGAATAATCCGATGAAACCACTGATTCCACTGCCGCTGTAGTCTTGTAGTGAGTTCGCCATGTTGTACAATGTATTGAATGCAGCGAATGCTGTGATCGTGTTCTAGAATTGACATCACACATCTGGGTTCCAGATATTCGCGGGGAAATATAACGATCGGAAAATCGAAATAAATCAATTTTGGGGAATTATTTTCAGATTTTTTTTTTAAACTCATATTAGAGATGGTATGCGAGCTAATTCTCCCTTTTTAAAATTTTCAGTTACTTCACATAAATCCTTTAAGGGTTCGGTGGCAAATGTCAAAATAAGTAGTAGACTTGTGTTATGGTCAACTACAGTATAGAACACTATAATAGCCATAATCTGATTCTATTCATACACGAACAAACTGTCGTCTATTTAGTTTTTTTTTTTCTTGTCTTTTATTTTTAATTTATCGGCAGTTAACAAAGTCTGTTATGCGTCTTCTATTTACGTGTTGCCACAATGTTTGTATTTTCTTTGTATACCAGGCCACTTTCTGTATCCGAGGCTTGCTAAAAATGGAAAGGCAAGGTGAACAGTATGACAGTAATAAGTATACCGTAAGAGGACTGATTTTGTCAAGTTCTATGGTCTCTTGACATCAAGTTCACTTAAATTAAGCCTGCCTCTTGCTTCAGTGATCTCTCTTTCTGTCTCTTTCTCTTTCTCCCTCTCCCTCCTTCCCTCCCACTCAAAATGATCTCGCGTGGTGTTGATTTTGAACTTTGCCATGGGATCAGTAACATATTCGTAGGATAAGCCTCGTGTTCAAATTTTAGGAAACGGCAGTTCAAGATGGTATGCTACACTGATAAAATACAAGAACATGGGATTAAAACATTATAAAACATATGAAAAAATATAGGAGTTGGGTCCAGCCCTCCTCCATTCTAGAGGGGTGCAATCGCCTCCCTACCCCCCCTTTCGCACGCAAAGATTTATTTCATTGCCGATATTAAATGCAGATGCAATATTCATCACCATTTATCAAGCAAAGCAATGCCGAATATGATACCTCCAACTTTATAACTCCATAGATGGGGAGGGTATAGGAGACGGAGACTGATGCCCAGTGTTGGTGATCGGTCCTGCCTTAGGCCTCAGTCTTCAACTCAAACGTTGGCTGACCAGCGTCCATCCCAACCGACAAGTAAAAGTTGTGTTAATAAGGCTAAGAATCGGGCAGATAAAATTGACTCATGAGCCGATGATGGCTTAAAGTGAAGCACATTGTAAGGGATGACAAGAGCCATTAACATGTAATGGAAATGTGTGCAGCATTCTTAGACCGAAGACACGTGTACTTAATTTAATTATTTATAATATTTATACAATGAATTTGTACTTTAAAAGCATATCTATGCTTTGATTTTTAAGATTATTGCTATTAATTCCATTTATGAGACGTTTATTGATAGATTTGTAAACATTTTAAATATCTTATTTTACTCATACAATGTATTTGTCGCTAATGGCAACTGCTGACGCGGCAGACAATTTTAAATAAGCAATCAACCTTCAGCTTAAATGATTTTCTTTTTCTTTTCTTCCCCTTTCCTTTTCCTTTTCTTCTTTTGTCCACTTCCTAAGGTGTAATAGCCTTGTTGAAAAAATGAAGGGCTCGCTTTGTGTCAGTTCTGAACGGTCTCGGACGGCCATGGGCACGGTATTCCCTTGGTTATTCACCTAGCCCATACCCCTCGTAAAGACCATGTAAACCGTTTCTCCTCCCCACATAATTCAGGCTTACCATGGCCAATGATGAAGACTTTGTACCCTTTGTACTTTTGTACCCTTATTATGAGGCTTACCCCTTTTTTTGTTTACTGACCCCTGCCGTTCGATGCTTGCTCTGAACTTGACTCATTCTGAATCATACATCCAAACCACTACTCAGCTTTCAGAATATATCACCCACTCTTTCAACAGCCTTCACTCCATCTCCTACGCAATCTTCTTCATAATCTGCTCCTTCCTCCTTTATTACTCCTCTTCATCCTTATTGTCTTAGTCGCAGTACTACCCGACTATCCCCCCTGCCCATGTCCTACTATATCCTCTACAGAGCTTTTGAGTACTCTTTCCAACACTGTCTCCAAAATCAAGGCAAAGTTTCCTTCAGCGGCTTTGCAATAGTTACATCGTGTAATATCTACCTCCTTATCAAACCTATTCCTGCCCAGCCTCACTTCTCCCTTAACTATTTTATCGGAATTGTTTCCATCTCCCTGTCTGACTGTCCTGTCTACATCAAGGATTGGTCAGACTGTGAAAACGATCTATTTCCCTGCCTCGTTGACTATACTGCAGTATCAGCACAGTCCTATACTATTCCTCCCAGAGGCCATTGTCAATCCTGGCTAATATTGCCAAGATTAGTTTCCATAGACTTGACCTTCCCCATGACGTTTATACTTACCCTGTCTGACCATATCGACCCCTCCCCCATCAGTGTCAGAAATGGCGTTTGGCCACCCACCCAAGATCTGTCGTACTACAGCCCGCTGCTTTGTATGGGCCCAATTTAGTCATGACTGTGCAAATTGCTTTGCACAATTATGCACGTGGTGGTGACTCACCTAATACATTTTGTAGGAGCTACATTGCCTACAAGTTTGAGTCTGATATAGCAGTTCCCAGATTCACACAAGGCATCACTCTACATGACGCCAAACAGGAAGTACCTATTATCATTCTACCACTACCGCTCTCTCCCAGTCAAATTCTTTTACTGTTCTAAACCTAAGTACACAAATTTCTACCAATTCCCATGTGCCTACACCTTCTCATTTTACCTGCCGAACCAGGTAATCTAAACGTTCCACCCAATCTACGACACTCACCCACCTCTTCTTTTGCTCTTTTCCTCCTCATAAGAAAACCTTCATTACTCAAACCTCTCTCCATCCAGTCTCCCTCCAGAAACTCGAGGACATCCAAAACTTCCTAAATATGAGACAAGGGAACACTCCTATCTCTTATCCACCTCCAGTCCCTCTATTCCCAATCCCTGTACATTTGAAGTGACTGCCTACTTCCACTTTCCAACTTACGTTCCCCTCTCTTCCTTCCACTTTCCCAACGCACCTCAACATCCCCCCCCACCCATCTGCCCCATCGCCCGTTCTATCCTTTCTGCCTCCTGGATGCTCACTTGACTCCCTTCTGTCACAACAGATCTTTCCCCTCCTGACATTCTTCCTGATCCCTCACATTCATGCTCTGTTTCCTTGTCTCATTTCCCGTGTTCTCTTCCTTCTCCAACACCCAGTTCTACCTTTGATTACCGTTGAGTGCTTCATAATGGTTCTTTTGGATTGTTCCTTTTCCTTCCTCAGACCCGTGGATGCTCTACATTTAATTTAACCAACCTTTACCCTTAACTCCCCGCTTTTACTAATCCTTAGCTTACTCTGTTTACTCCGTCTCTTTATCCTTTTTACTACCATACTATCCCATTATGATCTACGACCGTTAACATCAAACACATTTTGTCCTAAAGATACATTCTGTTCGGTGAGATTACAAGTCAACGAGATCGTCAAACAACTGTCTAGAACACTGATTCTTTGTTATTGAATGATTTATTCTAACTGGCATCTGAACTAACGCTCAGTGAAGGGCCTGGGGAAGAAGCACGCATGCATAGAAGCAAAGGGGCCGAGCTTGTTCTCGAGCAGGTGATGGGCTCCGCCTCTATGAACGATGTCATGAGCCTTAACGTCCGGCATCAAACCCCAGACACGACGCGTCCGGGGTATTATCCCAGACGTCCCGGGTTAAATTACATAGGAGATGATGGCCTAACACACCATCTCTTATCGAGCAGCGATGGTCGTTGAATAATCATCGTAGAACAATAATCGTGATAATCGCATCGATCAAAATGTGCCTTAATTATTGACTCATGCCCCCCCTTTTCGCCGCAAAACTTTACCATAGGACTCTATGATGTTAGGTGTCTTACACGTGCATTTGCTTAAACCGTTAACCATTTAAACCATTTTATCAATTGTTTTCTCATGAGAGTTGGCAAGTCAGGCTATTCCAGAATCCGGCCTGAGTTGACATTTTTTTTTGCATGAGATTATATAGAATTTAGCATGTTTGAAAAGGGGAAATGTTGCCTATGCAAAGTGCCAATTCAGCTGACATGGTGATAGACCGGCAAACATAAGGTCCCGGACTCTCTCTTCCGTTCCCTTAATTTCTTCCCAATTTTCCTTTTAATTCCAAAGAGTGTGAATTAAGGCTCTAATCAATAACCCCCCTCCCCCCCAGCACTACCATTCGCCTTGGAACTGAATATCTAGAACCAACACAAGGCGCCCATGCATACCAAATCTTCAGCCCTGAAGCTGCTGTCCTTCACCCGAACTTCGATAAATACCAGCTAGTGTATAACGATATAGCCCTGGTTAGACTAAACAGGGACGTAGTCTTTAACGGTAAGTACTGCATGTGTACATTTGTTGTGCCACTAAGTACCGTGAGAATAAGCAATTCCATTAAAATATATATATATTATAGAGAAAACGCAAAATGATGAGGTAACTTTCATGTAACTTGCATAATTCTGAATACTTTCTGATAGTAGTAGTTCCATTTTCCCCTATTTCAAATTGATCAACTTAATACCAACATTTTGTCTCGTGATTTTATATAAATTTATTAACAGCCGGTGAAAAGAAATTTTCAGGCCACCATCTTGCATTAATGCTGAAGTCTTGATCTGACACACACACACACACACACACACACACACACACACACACACACACACACACACGACGATCTATATCTCTATTTCTATATCATTAAATTCCTTCTCTTCTCTTAACGTACCAGAGCATGTTCGTCCCGTGTGCCTCCCCCCAGCCGGAATAGACCTGGAGGGGCTGCTCACGGAGCAAATGCCAGTGGCGATTGGATGGGGTAGAACGATGTACGCCAGCAGGTCATCTATCCTTCAGGAAATTCGCCTGCCCTTCGTCCCCCTAGCAAGATGTAGGGACACCTATCCGTTGTTCAAGTTGGTGGATCAGCAAGTGAGTGGGGCGCTTGTGTGTGCGCTTTTGTTGCTGGGGATATGATTTGTCGTATACTCGTATGTATTCAAATGTTTACTTACATAGACATACATGCACATACACTCGAACACGAAATCACACACACACACACACACACACACACACACACACACACACACACACACACACACACACACACACACACACACACACACACACACACAAATCACATTTCATTTGATCTCATTCTTAATTTAAAAATTCTTGCAGATCTGCTTCGGTGGACTCCACGGCAGAGGAACATGTAACGGAGATTCTGGGGGCCCGCTATTGATTGGGAATGTTGTCGTAAGTCCACTTCTTTTACTGTAGCTTTGTCCCATTCATATATACGGTTATTATTATCCGGCATTGATACTTTTTATGGCCGGATGCCCTTCCCGATGCCACTCTTCTCTATTTTCCCGGGCTTGGTACTGACACTATCTTGGCATGCCTACCCAGAGGCTAGGTTACTGTCGTACGTGCTCCGTCCCAATCGACAATCTAATAACCAATCGACCCTCTCCCTTATCACTAATCGGCCTTCTTTCTAATCACTAATCGACCCCCTCTCAAATCACCAACTGTGACCCTCCCTTAATCACCAATCGACCCTCTCTAACACCCAATCTTCTCTTTAATCACCAATGGACCCTCTCTCAGCTCCAATCTCTTTAATCACCAATCGACCCTCTCTAACCACCAATCTTTTGAATCACCAATCGACCCTCTCTAACCACCAATCTTCTCTTTAACCACCAATCGACCCTCTCTAACCACCAATCTTTTTAATTACCAATCGACCCTCTCTAACCACCAATCTTCTCTTTAATCACCAATCGACCCTCTCTAACCCCCAATCTTCTCTTTAATCACCAATCGACCCTCTCTAACCCCCAATCGTCTCTTTAATCACCAATCGACCCTCTCTAACCCTCTTCTTTTAATCACCAATCGACCCTCTCTAAGACCAATCTTCTCTTTAATCGACCCTCTCTAACCCCAATCTTCTCTTTAATCACCAATCGACCCTCTTCTAAGCCCCAATCTTCTCTTTAATCGACCAATCGACCCTCTCTAACCACCAATCGTCTCTTTAATCCCCAATCGACCCTCTCTAAGCCCCAATCTTCTCTTTAATCACCAATCGACCCTCTCTAACCCCCAATCTTCTCTTTAACCACCAATCGACCCTCTCTAACCCCAATCTTCTCTTAAATCACCAATCGACCCTCTCTAATTCTTCTCTTTAATCACCAATCGACCCTCTCTAACCACCAATCGTCTCTTAATCCCCAATCGACCCTCTCTAACCCAAATCTTCTCTTTAATCACCAATCGACCCTCTCTAACCACCAATCTTCTCTTTAATCACCAATCGACCCCTCCTAACCCCCAATCTTCTCTTTAATCACAATCGACCCTCTCTAACCCCAATCGTCTCTAACCACCAATCGACCCTCTCTAACCCACAATCTTCTCTTTAATCACCAAATCGACCTCTCTAACCCCCAATCTTCTCTTTAATCACCAATCGACCAAGCCCCAATCTTCTCTTTAATCACCAATGGACCCTAACCCCCAATTTCTCTTTAATCCCAATCGACCCTCTCTAAGCCCCAATCGTCTCTTTAATCACCATCGACCCTCTCTAACCCCCAATCTCTCTTAATCACCAATCGACCCCTCTAAACCACCAATCTTCTTTCACCAATTGACCCTCTCTAAGCCCCAACTTCTCTTTAATCACAATCGACCCTCTCTAACCCCAATCTTCTCTTTAATCACCAATCGACCCTCTCTAACCCCCAATCGTCTCTTTAACCACCAATCGACCCTCTCTAAGCCCCAATCTTCTCTTTAATCACCAATCGACCCTCTCTAACCCCTAATCTTCTCTTTAATCACCAATCGACCCTCTCTAACCCCAATCTTCTCTTTAATCCCCAATCGACCCTCTCTAACCTTTCTCTTTAATCACCAATCGACCTCTCTTAAAATCTTCTCTTTAATCACAATCGACCCTCTCTAAATCTTCTCTTTAAACTCACCAATGACCTCTGTAAGCCCCAATCTTCTCTTTAATCACCAATCGACCCTCTCTAAGCCCCAATCTTCTCTTTAATCACCAATCGACCCTCTCTAACCACCAATCTTCTCTTTAATCACCAATCGACCCTCTCTAAGCCCCAAATCTCTCTTTAATCACCAATCGACCCTCTCTAACCCCAATCTTCTCTTTAATCACCAATCGACCCTCTCTAACCCCAATCTCTCTTTAATCACCAATCGACCCTCTCTAACCCAATCTCTCTCTTAATCACCAATCGACCCTCTCTACCCACAATCTTCTCTTAATCTCGACCCTCTCTAATTCTTCTCTTTTAATCACCAATCGACCCTCTAACACCACTTCTCTTTAATCACAAATCCCTAACCCCAATCTTCTCTTTAATCCCCAATCGACCCTCTCTAACCACCAATCGTCTCTTTAATCACCAATCGACCCTCTCTAAGCCCCAATCTTCTCTTCAATCACCATTCGACCCTGTCTAACCACCAATCGTCTCTTTAATCTCCAATCGACCCTCTCTAAGCCCCAATCTTCTCTTTAATCACCAATCGACCCTCTCTAACCCCAATCTTCTCTTTAATCACCATCGACCCTCTGTAAGCCCCAATCTTCTCTTTAATCACCAATCGACCCTCTCTAACCACCAATCTTCTCTTTAATCACCAATCGATCCTCTGTAAGCCCCAATCTTCTCTTTAATCACCAATCGACCCTCTCTAACCCCCAATCGTCTCTTTAATCCCCAATCGACCCTCTCTAAGCCCCAATCTTCTCTTCAATCACCATGCGACCCTGTCTAACCACCAATCGTCTCTTTAATCTCCAATCGACCCTCTCTAAGCCCCAATCTTCTCTTCAATCACCATGCGACCCTGTCTAACCACCAATCGTCTCTTTAATCTCCAATCGACCCTCTCTAAGCCCCAATCTTCTCTTCAATCACCATTCGACCCTGTCTAACCACCAGTCTTCTTTTTAATCACCAATCGACCCTCTCTAACCACCAATCGTCTCTTTAATCCCCAATCGACCCTCTCTAAGCCCCAATCTTCTCAAGAATCACCAATCGACCCTCTCTAACCCCCAATCTTCTCTTTAATCACCAATCGACCCTCTGTAAGCCCCAATCTTCTCTTTAATCACCAATCGACCCTCTCTAACCCCCAATCTTCTTTTTAATCACCAATCGACCCTCTCTCTCTCTTTAATCACCATCGACCCTCTCTAACCCCAATCTTCTCTTTAATCACCTATCGATCCTCTGTAACCCCAATCTTCTTCTTAATCACCAATCGACCCTCTCTAACCCCCAATCGTCTCTTTAATCCCCAATCGACCCTCTCTAAGCCCCAATCTTCTCTTCAATCACCATTCAACCCTGTCTAACCACCAGTCTTCTCTTTAATCACCAATCGACCCTCTCTAACCCCAATCTTCTCTTTAATCACCAATCGACCCTCTCTAACCCCAAATCTCTTTAATCACCAATCGACCCTCTCTAACTAATCCCCAATCGTCTCTTTAATCCCCATCGACCCTCTGTAAGCCCCAATCTTCTCTTTAACAATCGACCCTCTCTCCCAAAATCTCTTTAATCACCAATCGACCCTCTGTAAGCCCCAATCTTCTCTTTAATCACCAATCGACCCTCTAACCCCAATCTTCTCTTTAATCACCAATTCGACCCTCTCTAACCCCAATCTTCTCTTTAATCACCAATCGACCCTCTCTAAGCCCCAATCTTCTCTTTAATCACCAATCGACCCTCTCTAAGCCCCAATCTTCTCTTTAATCACCAATCGACCCTCTCTAACCCCAAATCTCTTTAATCACCAATCGACCCTCTCTAAGCCCCAATCTTCTCTTTAATCACCAATCGACCTCTCTAACCTAATCTTCTCTTTAATCACCAATCGACCCTCTGTAAGCCCCAATCTTCTCTTTAATCACAATCGACCTCTCTAAACATCGTCTCTTTAAAATCGACCTCTGTAAGCCCAATCTTCTCTTTAACCAATCGACCCTCTCTAACCTCTCTCTTAATCACCATCGACCCTCTGTAAGCCCCAATCTTCTCTTTAATCACCAATCGACCCTCTCTAACCACCAATTCTTTCTTTAAGCCACCAATCGACCCTCTCTAAGCCCCAATCTTCTCTTTAATCACCAATCGACCCTCTCTAACCCCAATCTTCTCTTTAATCACCAATCGACCCTCTCTAAGCCCCAATCTTCTCTTTAATCACCAAACGACCCTCTCTAACCCCAATCTTCTCTTTAATCTCGACCTCTCTAAGCCCCAATCTTCTCTTTAATCACCAATCGATCCTCTCTAAACCCTAATCTTCTCTTTAATCACCAATCGACCCTCTCTAGCCCCAATCTTCTCTTTAATCACCAATCGACCCTCTCTAACCACCAATCTTCTCTTTAATCAACCAATCGACCCCGTCTAACCACAATCTCTCTTTAATCTCCAATCGACCCTCTCTAACCCCAATCTTCTCTTTAATCACCAATCGACCCTCTCTAACCCCAATCTTCTCTTTAATCACCAATCGACCCTCTCTAACCCCCAATCTTCTCTTTAATCACCAATCGACCCTCTCTAACCCAATCTTCTCTTTAATCACCAATCGACCCTCTCTAACCCCCAATCTTCTCTTAATCACAACCCTCTCTAACCAATCTTCTCTTTAATCACCAATGGGACCCTAACCCCAATCTTCTCTTTAATCCCCAATCGACCCTCTCTAACCACCAATCGTCTCTTTAATCACCAATCGACCCTCTCTAACCCCAATCTCTCTCTAATCACCAATTCGACCACTCTAACCACAATCTTCTCTCACCAATTGACCCTCTCTAACCACCAATCTTCTTTTTAATGACCAATCGACCCTCTGTAAGCCCCAATCTTCTCTTTAATCACCAATCGATCCTCTCTAACCACCAATCTTCTCTTTAATCACCAATCGCCCTCTCTAAACCAATCTTCTCTTAATCACCATCGACCTCTCTAACCCAATCTTCTCTTTAATCACCAATCGACCCTCTCTAAGCCCCAATCTTCTCTTTAATCACCAATCGACTCTCTAACCCTAATCTTCTCTTAATCACCATCGACCCTCTCTAGCCCCAATCTCTCTTTTCTCGACCCTATCAATCACCAATCGACCCTCTCTAACCCCCAATCTTCTTCTTTAACACCATCGACCTTCTCTAACCCCTTCTTCTCTTTAATCACCAATCGACCCTCTCTAACCCCAATCTTCTCTTTAATCGATACCCTCTCTAACCCCAATCTTCTCTTTAATCACCAATCGACCCTCTCTAAGCCCCAATCTCTCTTAATCACCATCGACCCTCTCTAACCCCTAATCTTCTCTTTAATCACCAATCGACCCTCTCTAAGCCCCAATCTTCTCTTTAATCACCAATCGACCCTTCTTCTCTTTCACCAATCGACCTCTCTCTAACCCCAATCTTTCTCTTTAATCACCTCGACCCTCTCTAACCAATCTTCTCTTTAATCACCAATCGACCCTCTCTAACCCCAATCTTCTCTTAATCACCAGTCGACCTCTCTAACCCCAATCTTCTCTTTAATCACCATCGACCCTCTAATCGACCCCTAATCTCTCTGACCCTCTCTAACCACCAGTCTTCTCTTTAATCACCAATCGACCTCTCTAAGCCCCAATCTTCTCTTTAATCACAATCGACCCTCTAACCCCAATCTTCTCTTTAATCACCAAACGACCCTCTCTAACCCCAATCTTCTCTTTAATCACCAATCGACCCTCTCTAAGCCCCAAATCTTCTCTTTTAATCACCAATCAATCCTCTCTAAACCCTAATCTTCTCTTAATCACCAATCGACCCTCTCTAAGCCCCAATCTTCTCTTTAATCACCAATCGACCCTCTCTAAGCCCCAATCTTCTCTTTAATCACCAATCGACCCTCTCTACCCCAATCTTCTCTTTAATCACCAATCGACCTCTCTAAACCCTAATCTTCTCTTTAATCACCAATCGACCCTCTCTAACCCCCAATCTTCTCTTTAATCACCAATCGACCCTCTCTAAGCCCCAATCTTCTCTTTAATCACCAATCGACCCTCTCTAACCATCTTCTCTTTAATCACCAATCGACCCTCTCTAACCCCAATCTTCTCTTAATCTCGACCCTCTCCCCCCAATCTTCTCTTTAATCACCAATCGTCGACCCTCTCTAACCCTAATCTTCTCTTTAATCACCAATCGACCCTCTAAACCCTAATCTTCTCTTTAATCACCAATCGACCCTCTCTAACCCCCAATCGACTCTCCCAAAACACCAATCGACCTTCTCTCAAATCACCAATGAACCCTCTCCGTAATCGCCAATCCACCTTCCCTTTAATCACCACTCAACCTCCAACCTAATCACCGATCCGCCTTCGACAGATTGGGTTGTTATCGAAAGGAGGAAAGTGTGCCACAGCTGGACAACCTGACGTCTTCACCAGAGTGGACGCCTACGTGGACTGGATCAAAGAGAACCTCAGGCCGTGAACGAGAGAGGGAGAGGGAGAAAAAGGGGGAAGGGAGAGGAGAAAAAAGGGGGGAGGGGGAGGAGAGGAGAAAAAAGGGGAGGGAGAGGGAGAAAAAGGGAGGAGAGGGAGAAAAAGGGAGGGAGAGGGAGAAAAAGGGGAGGGAGAGGGAGAAAAAGGGGAAGAGAAAGAAAAGAAAAGAAAGAAAGAAAGAAAGAAAGAAAGAAAGAAAGAAAGAAGAAGAAAGAAAGAAAGAAAGAAGAAAGAAAGAAAGAAAAAGAGAGAGAGAGAGAGAGAGAAAGAGATAGACAGACAGACAGACAGACCAAAGCCTAGTTCACACCAAATGACATTACATCGCAACAGCATTCTTTACCGCCTCGATGCAGTTGCTCAACAAAATATCTTGGTCTGGACGATGATCTAAAATTATGTCTCCCAACAGTTGTAAGATATTTCTGGATTTGTTGATCAACTGTCTCAAATAGAGTGTATAACAACAATGTATCTTGGTCTGGACTTGGATCAATAAAATAGATTGCGCAATTTTCTCACACACAAATGCACACACACACACACACACACACACACACACAGTGTGTGTGTGTGTGTGTGTGTGTGTGTGTGTGTGTGTGTGTGTGTGTGTGTGTGTGTGTGTGTGTGTGTGTGTGCCCATATGTATGCCAATCAATCAATCTTTATATTCTAACTCTTCTACTTGATTACAAAAGCACCTTCGAATATATAGAGGCGATGCGTCGTTGAAGGAGCGTTGTTCACAAATACTCCGTCTTGCAACTCCACCTTAGAACCAGTTGGTGTGAAGGTTAACCTCGCTTGTGTGACACCGATGAAAAAAATCAAATAAAAAGGTAATCACACTTTGTTTCCCTTTTCCACGTTAAAATTTCAATACCTCAGAATTTCATTCGACAAGATTGACGAAATTTAAATAAAGGACAAACAAGGATAAAAGAGCCAACCAAAATTAATTACATAAAAGAATTGATAAAGGTTATATCACTGCTGCCACTTCCGTTGTACAATAAGGAACAATAAAAATTATTGTTAGTAATGCTTTATTCAAGTTTGTGGGATATCACTTGAAACTCAAGTTCAAGTTCAACTATATTAAGGCAATCTAAATATTTCCAAGGATTTCATAGGAATGAAGATAAAAACAAGGATGATAATGGTATTGATAAAAGTAACAATAATAAGGATTACGACAAAAGAGCAATCAACAAATTCTCAAAATACTTCATTATGTTAGTGTATCATTACTAACTAATCATAATAAGAAAGCAAAGCAAAAACGACTCCAACTACCATAAAATTCAGAAATTCAGGCAGAAGACTTCCCTTTTACATCTAATAACAGGTTCTCCATAATCCACGGTCTGTATTTTGCTATGTTGGTGTATGCAGCCAGTTCACACACATTACCGAATGCGTGTATGCCAATCTGTTCATGAAAGGTTGAACAATTAAATGAACGAGAAAAATGATAACAATTAATCATATACATTATCTAATAGTTAATATAATAGTCATAAATCTGATAATAATGTTAAATGTAATCAAAACTATCTCTTTCAAAAATATAGATCATCATCAGACTTCCAGCGTATCCCAAGTCGGCTGTATGAATCATAATTAGGTTGATGATGATGCTAATTAGCTGACGATAATGAGGGGCCGATTTGGAACTTTTTTCTTTTGTTTAGATTGGGGAAAATTTACAATACAAACGCCGATTTTGAATGGAGATGAATGTTCAAAAACGTTCAGAACATGTCCAGCTGCACTTCGGCTTTATATATCATATTGCAACATGCAGAATTCAAGCCAATCCTAGATATTCAAAGGACTAATTTATTTTTAAGATATATTCATAGTAGTGTATGTAGTATGCATAAATATCTGCATACTACACACACACACACACACACACACACACACACACACACACACACACACACACACACACACACACACACACACATATATATATATATATATATATATATATATATATAATATATATATATATATATACATACATACATGCATATATGTATATATATATTTATATATACATATATGTACATATATGTATATATATATATATATATATATATATATATATATATATATATATATATATATAATATATATATATGGTGTGTGTGTGTATGTGTGTGTATGTGTTGTATGTGTATGTGTATGTGTGTGTATGTGTGTGTGTGTGTGTGTGTGTGTGTGTGTGTGTGTGTGTGTGTGTGTGTGTGTGTGTGTGTGTGGTGTGTGTGTGTGTGTGTGTCATATATACAGTAGTAGATAGATAGACACACACACACATGTATATATACATACATATGACTAATGACAAAACACTCATCTGTGTTAAACCCATATAGATGACAGAAAAAGAAAATAAATAAAAGTTAAAAATATACAATAAGGTACGTTACGTTATTTCTGACTGATGGTGATAAACGGACGA